TGTGTCAATAATATACTACCATTTTTACCAAGAACACAGACTTTGACAATCTGGAAACACACTTGAGGTGTCGTTGATATATTGAGCTTGTGTACCAGGTGAGTTTGGTCCGGATCAACAGGATGTAAGGATGTGTGATGTTTTCCTTGACAGCTAGGTTCTCGACACAGAACTGTTGAAGAACAGGCTTCTGTTTTATGATTTGAACGTAAACAATTATGACAAAGTTGATTGTCAATGACGACCTTTTGTCTTTCTTGAAAAGACTTGTTGTAATAAATAGGACATTTGTAGATGCTATGGTTTTCCTTGCACACAAGACATGGTTTTTGGAATACAAGTTGGTTAGGATTTTCTTTATGCGTAGGAGCAGGTGACGATTTACTTTGCTGTTCATGTTTATACTCCTGGTTATACCCTCTAGTATTTAGAGATTTATGCTTGAAAGGTAAGTTACTACGTTGACCAGAGAATTTCTGTTTGTTGAATTTGTCTATACCACTAGCATCTGTCCGATGAGTAAAAACCGCATATGGATTTAGATCTGTATCAAGCCGTTCCCTCAGCCGTTCAAGTCAAGTAGGTTGGGCTCACGTGTTCTTATAATTTGCTTGCTAAATTCATTCCAGCTCTGAACTTTATCTGAAGGAAGACGTTTGAGTGCCTTGATGAGGGTATCACTGCTATACAAGTCAGAAAGGTAATTCATTTGCTGGAGTGCCGCAATACAGTCTCTGACAGCAATGTAGAAATGACGTAGTGCAGTTGGATCTCTGTTTGTGACAGCTTGGCCAGAGGTGACCGTTTCCACTAATGCTCTAGCAACCTTGATGGGATGACCAAAGGTCGATTTAAGCTCTTGTAATACCAAACAATAGTTTTTTCCGGAGTATCCTAGGCCTTGGACCAGGGCCTTTGCATCGCCTTCGAGATGGGACAACAGAATGTCTAGCCGCCTTGTGTCTGAAATAACAGGACGACTGTGAATTTGAGAATAAAACTGTTCTATAAACTTTGGCCAATGTGCTGCAGCGCCATTGCAAACAGGAAGTTCAAGTTTGGGTAAGTCCCGTTCACTCTCAAGTCTTATAATAGTCTCTGTCAGTTGATCGGTTGTTATGGGTGGATCTTTTCTAAGGCTTGATATGTCTCTTCTAGGAGCTAAACTCCCTATCCAGGAATCAATTGGTTCAATGTTATTTTGTGGAGATGAGTTTTGAAATCCTGAGCGATCACCTTGTAATACCGGTACTTGGGTTTTCTGTTGAGGTGTTGGACCATCTTCAATCTCAGTGGGATTTGCAGATGGCAACTTACTTGTGGACAAAACATTAATCAAGGGTTGATAAGGAGAGTCAGTTTGATTGAAATTCTGATTTAGTACCCATTCATGTACAGTGTTCTGAGGAATATCAGACTTGCTGTCAGAAATGAAGGCTTCAGGTTGGAGGCTGTTCTTCCTTTCTTCCTCTTCAAGAATATCTTGTAAAAGTTCAGCCTCTAAATTTGCTTGTTCAACAGCTTGTCTATTTTCTTGTTTTCTTCTTTCTGTTTCTAACTGAAGAATTCTTTCCTCTAACTCCTGAGCTTCAGCCATGTGTCTAGCCTTTAGTTTTGCATTCTTAAGCTTGAGTTTAAGGTCCACCGAACTAGAAGAACAGGCACTTTTCCTGGAATGTTGACTGTTGACACTGCCATGGTTTCCAGCCTTGACACCTTTAGGTTGACTTACATTCTGTGGCGAGAGAGAATGGTATGGACCTTTAAGTGAAGGTGGTCCCGAATGGGCTCTTCGAGTCTTTAATTCAAGAGTTTGAGTAGTGCGGTTCTTGTTAGTAGCCGGTAAGGACATAATGATTGACAAAAAATCGAAATCGAGCTTTTCTGAATCTTGATTGGCTGTTAAATGTTATTATTTTCTCTGTTGAATGTTCGAGATAAACCACATGTTCAGTCGAACACAAGGTATTATCGATAAATCCATCTGACAGACAAGATTGAATGAACCATGACATAAATCAGTTTAGTACCTTAAATTCTGTAAATAAAGCATCCTGTTACTGTTTACATCTGTTTAACATTATTCAACCATTTGTTTATCTCGGTGAATTTCAAGGGAAAATGAACAATTAAGATTTACATGCAGCCATTTGAATTGTGATGGTTTTTGTGGTCAAGGTCAACTGAACAACGGAATGTAACTTCAATATTAAAGAGTTGTAATTATTAAAACAAAAGTAGAAAGAAGGGAGATAATTAATGGAAACACGGAGCGAACACACTATAATGTCTTTTAAGGCATGAACAAATAGACTGTCGGAAATGCTCTACAACATGCAAGTTTATGACTGAGTGGGGATGTGGGATTTATTCACCGTAGAAGGTATTGATTACCAAAACGTATCACAAACAGAGGGCAGACCAGATTAATGCCCCCCCCCCCCCGGCGCCGCCACTACTTAATAACCCCCCATATATATCTATTTCATATTGTCTTATATATTTCTTTAATCATCTGTCTACAGTATGTCAAACTACGGGCTAAAGTGTTTCAAGTTACCATGGTGTATTGTTTGTATAGACGATAGATTTATAGGATTAATGCACTCGAAGCTTTCCAGAAACCTGCCACAAGGAGATCAACTTCGGATCACATCTTAAAGAACAGGCTTGATTTACCTGTATTTGGATATTTGGAGATACAAGTTTATGTCAATTCCAATATCCACATTGGAGCTTATTTAAAATTAAGCATTGAACCAATAATTGTTACATTAAAGGGGCTAAATCGCTAATATTTGGGACCTAGAAATTGACACAAATGGGCCACAACGCTTATAATAATGTAATATGAGTGTATATAAACTGATTTACATTCAATCATTTCCGTTTTTACCCTAATTTCAAATCAGTTATATTCGGCGAAATACGCGAGAAGTCTCAATCGAATGTCAATCTCTAGCGCCTGGTTATTGCAGTCTACACCGGTATTATTTATTGTACATGCTCCCCAGCTAAGAATATGACGTCACCGTTTTACATGACTTGTGGGATATGACTAGCCTCTTCTTCGAGTCATTTGTTACAAATGGCGCTGAAACGCATTCTGGTGCACGATTCATGTACCATTGGTAAAATGTTTATTTTGTCTTAAATATTGGATATCCGAAGCCCATCTTTCCCCGGTAAGATCACAACAGTAATGTTGATTTAAATAGACAAATAATTCGTGTTTTCAATGTCGAAGACTTTGGGTGATATTCTGCTGTTAGAGATTTAGCTACATTAATTGCCTGCTATAAGTTATGTTGAGTATTGTTAACCAAACAATAGAGAAATATTAACAACAAACAAAAATCTTGTCTTCATTGATTCAACCACGAAGATCCAGGAAAATACACAAGGCTTGCACTTTAAACAATTATTTCAATATTATTCACCACAGGGGGTGAACAAACAAATACATACAAACAGACACATTAAGTAATATATTGAAACAACACGAGTGACATAGTCACGAATTGTTGTTTCAATATATTACATTATGGGAGATAAGATAAAGAGATGGCAGTTCTCGCTATAATAGTTAAAAACTAGATAGTGTAAAGGCAATTTGCTGGAAATTTCAGTCAAATTGATCCACTATGAGCCGAGAAAGAAGCTGGTGAAATTTTTGCATAGTCTCGATCATCATTACTAAAATCATTAATATAAACAGCATAGTCTCGATTATCCACTTTTTCTGATTGAAATATCAATAGCCGTTAGCGGCATATAGGAATCTAATCCAGCCAACATCAAAGGCTAGCCACGACATCGAGAGTTTATTATGGTCTGGATAAGTTAATTAATGTCTAATTGATAATTTAGATAACATTTCAGGCCTAAAGAAAGACTTGTAATAAGCAGATTTTGCTCTTGCATAATGCATGTTTAAGCTCGAGACCATTAAACAACTTAAAATACAGACACTCGCACATGCTTTGCAATGAAATACGTCATGCGCGTCCAAAATTACAACTATTTTGCTCTTGCATAATGCATGTTTAAGCTCGAGACCATTAAACAACTTAAAATACAGACACTCGCACGTGCTTTGCAATGAAATACGTCATGCGCGTCCAAAATTACAACTAGTACGCTTGGCACATTGTCCGATTAACAACCAATAGCTAACTGCGTAACAATATCATTACGCTTTAAACAGAGCTCCAAATTGGACCAAATATATTTACATAACATTACATCATGACTCACGATTTTATTAGACCCAATTAACCAGTACATTGCAGAATATTGCAGAAAAAACTAATTGCGTGACAAACAAGGCTATCAAATGGCTACAATGTAAACAATACTGCTTAGAGACGACCAATACTTTTCGCCGTTTTTAATAGGCTACCTTAAATCACTGCCAAAAGTTTTAGGGAAGACCCCAGATTAAACGAAGGGCTGTAATGTTGGTGTACTTGGGAGAGATTTGATTGAACGGGAAGAATAGACACACTCCTCCAAAAGTATCAGAAGCCAATCCAGCAATAACCTGAGAGAGTACAATGGGATTATTAACTAAATGGAATACATTTTTTTTTCGTCCTAGATGCTGGTTTTGCCTGGAGGTCGCTGGTTCCCTCCCGGTGTTGCCCGCCAAAGTTCGAGATTTTCCGGCGTGGTTTCCCCTTGTTAGTGATACAGTAAAGAGGACCTAACAAGGACAGCGGTCTAGTGATTTGGATAGGAGGAAATACCGAGTTCCCGTATACACTGGCGTGCACATAAAAGATCCACTGACAGTTGGAATTCGATATAAGAGTAGGCTATAGTGCCGCTGACCGGGCAAAATTTTCCTCATAGCACACTGTATGGCGTATGCCCGTTTTCATTAGCCCATTCGGATCAGAACAGTAGGACGTTAAACCCCATTTCATTTCATCTCTCTCTCTCTCTCTCGTTTCCTTTCTTCATCCTTTCTGCGATTTCAAAATGCACAAGAACCAAAGTTGATTTTAACATGAACTCTTTATTTACACTAACTAAATTCATATTATTTTCTTTAAATCAGTTAATTATCGTATTTCATCAGCAAGTTTATAATTTAACCAAGAACATTAGTCATATATCTGATAAAAATATTCCATAGCGATCTAGATATTTTTACTGGAAGGTGATATTTTGGGGATTGAAGGGCGGGGCACTTCCAGTCTATTGTCTTGAGGCTAGTAATAAAACGTACAATTACTGAATTTAATAGGAGCTAATTTTAACAATGAAAGAACCCTCTCACACCCTTCTCAAAATTCCTGTTCCATATTTGGACTACATTAATATCATTATGCAAAAATTATGTTTAAAGGGGGGTCATCAAAATTACATAGTATTTTTTTCTTAGACTCCAAAAATACACATTTATTAGGAGAATTTAGTTCATCAAGATGTAAAAGTCTTCCTACACAAGAAACATGGAAAACAGGTGCTGTGTGTTACTAAGCAACCTTTTGACTAACCATCTCTAGTCTTCTTCATCCTAGGTCAGTGCTTATGTGGAGACTTAACCTCTCCCCCAAATTCTTAAACCTAACCTATAATCTCGTGCCCTAACATTATTTACATCCCAGCGACCTTGACGAAAATTTGAGCTGGCCTTAACAAATAGATTTAGGCATTGTGTACTGTTGAAACAAATCATCCATAATTAAAGAATTCATATTTTTTTTAAATTGAAAAATAATCAACTTTACAAACTTTTCAAGTTTAACGATACATAAATATATATATATAGCAGGTTAGCGGCACATCAATAGCTGGTGGGTAGTTACAATAGTTTCAATTATCCACTGGTGTAAAAATGACATCTGGTTGCTAGGCAACGAAACATACACCCACCAGGAACTTGGTCATCCAGGGCAATTACTGATTATATTATGACATTGAAACGATTATTGTTAAATGATAAGGCCAGCTCAATTTTTCGTCACAGTCACGAGATGTAAACAGGGCTGACGCTAATCCCACCTAACCCTGGACCTAGCTCCAATGCTTACCCTAACCCTAACCTACACTCTTGCGCTAACCATATTTACATCTCAGTGACCTTGACAAAAATTAAGCTGGCATTAACAAATAGATTTAGCCCATTGAAACAGATTCTATCATTGTGGGGTTAACATGAATGGTTACAAATTACAAAGGGCAGATAACTCTTAAAGCAATCTAATTAAAAGTAGATCTTGGATATAATGCTCGTTTTGTCCACTATGGTGTAAATATAAATCGCCTAAAAACATCGCCTAATTTTAATTAGATCGCCCCAAAAGTTAATATCAGAAATCAACAAAAATAATATTGAAACCTCTGAAGAGTTAAGAACCTTTTAATAACAAACTTGATCAACTTTTGTAATTTATGATACCCTTGTTAGACCGGGGTGGCGTCCTTACTGTGCTGCTACGGCAAAGGAGATGGTCTCAGAGCATGCCAAGAGAACCTTAAACACCAAATATTTTGCTGTGCGTTCCATAGTCGCCAATGATCGCAGAGTAATAGTGTTAGTTTTAAACATGTTCAAAACAAACGCTAAGGTTCTGCGATCTCACCTGGAACGCTGTTCACGCTTGCCAGCGTCCTCGTGTTTTTTCTGATCGATGTACAGGCGCAGCATTGCAGTAAGGACACCATCTCGGACTGACGGGGGGTATGAGTAAAACAAGGCAGACATTATCCATCAGCATATCCATCAGCAGTCAAATCATTCTATATCCTTTCAATACATAGAAACTATTCTTAACACAAAATATAAATAATAATTATAATAATTTATTCACCTTAAAATCATTGTTTAAATTTTCAACAAAACAAAAAAAAAATTGCAACAAATATGTGTCTAAATAAAACGCTAAAAATAGCAACAAGATTTGTAAATCTCACTTTTAAACCTGACCCAATGATTATAAGGCTACATGATTGGTGGATAATATTAGCAACAACCAATCAGATTACTAGATCTATATTAACAGCATCATTAATGATATTTACAAATATTAAACCTAATTGTCCACCTTTCAAACATTTTGAATTGAATCCGATAATATAGTAGTATCGAATCTAATTGTTGCGTTATAATATTAAAATCTGAAAATAAATATTCTGTAAAATTATCAACGTATCTTTCTGTCTTTTGAAGGAAATATTTTAACAGAAGCAGACTATAAAGTTTGATTATATATCAAGTACAAGTAATGCAAGTCTAACCCAATCTGTTTAAAACACAGATCCAATTTCGTTTTGTTTTTTATAGTTCAAAATTTCATTTTACTTGTCTTTACTACACTACGATCTGGAAGAGCTGTTATGTAACCAGCGTTCTGGTTGATGTGAGGGATTAGCCAATGAAACGATCTGTTGCAGCGAGTTCTTGGCGTGCAGTGCACGGATCTATGGGTATCCCAGTAGAAACATCAACGCTGATTGGTTAATCAAATGTCTCGCATCATAGGGACAAAAGTCGTGAACTCCCACTACAACAGGTCAAATCTTCATGTAGTGTAGGCCATCGAAAGTATAAAAAATCGAAACGAAATATAGATCTGTGTTTTAATCAGATTGAATCTAACAAAGTAAAATACGTGAATTTCAGGCCTTGTAAAATGACTGATCCATAATTGTCTCAACTGGACATTTTCATTTGCTAGCCGAACACTAACTGTCAATAAGGACCTAAATGAAAGTGCTGTTTTATACCCCCGTACCACTTCTTATTTATTTATTTATTTAGATTTTAAGCCAAGAAATGAGAGAAAATCTTGACAATTAATTGACTTACTTACGAAGTAACGAATTTTACAGCAAAATAAGAAGAGACTTTCAGTACAAACAAACAGTGTAAAATAAATTAAGCAGGGTTACACCAAGACGGAGAGCAAGAATCGGCCATATTATCGAAAGGAAAGGTCCAATTTCACTTCTGTTGAAAATGAATTGTACCGATAAAGACCAGACTGTGGATACATCTTAACATAAACTGAGGTATACAAACTCCATTAAAATAACCCATATCTAATGTCAATTATCAGCTTGTGACTTGTTTCATGAAGTGTACATAAAGCTATGTACATTTAACACTGTAGCCAGGGTATCATTTAATCTTGTGTATTTAGCACTAATTTCTTTCACATTCATTCAGTGTCAAATCTCTGTTTAAAAATTGGTAAAAATCTTTTAAAATCACCAAAAATAATCTAATTTGTACTTGCATCCAGTTTAAAGCTGACCATTCAATTTTGAAAATGAGTGTTCAATTTACAAACAACCCAATTGTTTATTGATGTAAAATGAATAACTTTTGAACAGTGGTCAGGAAATTAAATACTTGTAAATTGGACACTCATTATCAAAATTAATCAGTCAGTTTTAAACTAGACACAAGTACAAATTAGATGATTTTTGGTGATTTTAAATGATTTTTAAACAAAGATTTGATATTAAACGAATGTAAAAGAAATTAGTGCTAGATACACAAGATTAAATGATACCTGGGTTCCTGTGTAAGTTCTATAATAAATTGTTAATTTTCTGTCCATGGAAGCAGTGGTTCAAATCCAGAACATGGTTTCATGTATACCACACATTAAATACCTTTTACTCAAAATGACTGAAATGGATACATTTAAACTCTTCATTTATAGAAGTATGGCTTGCAGTGCTGTGGTCCTGCAATTCAGTTATTTAAAACGAAAGTAGAGTACATGAGTGAATGGTTTTGTCTGGTGCTGGGTTACGTAAGTGCCAAGACTATACACACATACATAAAAAATAGTGATATAATAATAATAATATATAATATGAGCAGCGTTTTTAAACAATAGCTTTTGCTTCTGGTAGGAATGCTTCCCAGTACTTGATTAACTGAAATAACAAACAATACATAGAAATTAAACATACATTATTCAAGAGAAGGAGAGAGAAATGGGGTGTAACGTTCACTTGACACAAATCGGGTCATTTCGAAACTTGCACATAGGGGTCTTTAGCAGTGGGAGGAAACTGGAGGATGCGGAAGAAACTTCACCAGGTTGGACAGATGATCCTACTCCTTGTCACATACAACTGGGAATTGAAACCATGCCAGTTCACTCAATGACAGACCTTATGATTCAACGAGCATGTGCTAACCATTCGGCCATCCCCCAGCCCCGGTATAAAAAGAGAGCCTTGTCTTTCAGTAATGGATTTTCATAAAATTATTGAATTTTCTTACCTTCTGTTGATTATCCATCAAGGCTTCTAAATACTGTATAACATGATTTTTAAAATCTACAACTCTGTGTTTCTCAAATCTGGCTACCTCTTTACGTACGTTTTCAGATATTTTATTAAAATCTGATTGACCTGTCTCAACTTTACCAGCCCACTAAAATAAACAAATATTATATATATCAAATACAGATCAATAATCAAATAAAGATTACTGTAATCGATATATCAAATAAAGATTACTGTAATTAATATATCAAATAAAGATTACTGTAATCAATATATCAAATAAAGATCACTGTAATTAATATATCAAATAAAGATTACTGTAATCGATATATCAAATAAAGATTACTGTAATCGATATATCAAATAAAGATTACTGTAATCGATATATCAAATAAAGATTACCGTAATAGAGCATACTGTATGACATACGCCCGTTTTCATTAATCCAGTCGGTGAAGAACAGAAGGGCGTTAAACCCCATTTCATTTCATTTCATTCACGTCCACTCAACACAAACTAGGTCATTTTGTGACCTACATATGGTTCTATTCTATTTCAATAATTCGCTTGCACGTAGGTGTCTTTAGCAGTGGGAGGAAACCGGAGGACCCAGAGAAAACCCACGAGGTTGGATAGACGACCCTACTCCTTGTCACGTTCAACCAGGGAATCGAAACCACACCAGTTGACTCAATGATCAACCTTATGTTAATCAAAAATTAAAATCTAATGTTTTTGATTCGCTGTAACTGAGAATCATTAATATGCCTGTCATTTTGGATATTGACACGAAGATTTATCCCAATTATAAAATATCAAATAAATTTTATAAACAAAACTGAATTCTCTGTGTGACATTTTATTCTCGAACTACTCAGACTCAATTCATTATACTACATAATACAGGGACATAACTCTATGAATTGGGACTATTAAACCGGAAATTGGAGAATCAAATAGTACCACTCATGTTGCGAGACATGTTTATTTCAAGTCATTATATCAGTATTCAATGTGAAAAAAATAAATTCAGTGTATCCTCCACATATAGTAAATAAAATATAAATAAATAAATACGTGTATACATATAATGAGAAATTGGAGTAAGAATTCCCGTAAAATATTATTGTTTATATCGCGTGCATCTAATTAATCGAGATTATTCGTAAAATACAGTGTGCGTCCGATTGAACAAAAATAGTAACACATGATAAAAAGCAGATGAAATTGCTTTCTAACGAAGAAATAAGAATTAAAATGAGTGGGACTTCGGAAGCCACTGTCAAGAATTGGCTTCAGACATAAGGCCTAACCAAAAGTCTACATTCAGAAATGTTCACAGCTACCTGTAACAGTGCTAAAATTCTAAAAAATCTTAAGAATGAAATCTAATCATTTGTTATTTAGTTGTTTTATGTTGAAACTGAAAAACTGCTAATCAATTTTTAAATCTGCTAATCATCTGTGAAAAATTACCGACAGCCCTGGTAATCAATATATCAAACATACCTCGGCTATTTCTTGCTGTGCCTGTTGGATTTTATCGGTTTTATGCTGTAATTCTAATTTGGTCTTGTTTTCTCTTTTTTTAGCTAACGTAATCTCGGCCTCCTTCCATGTTTTATAACTTTTCACACGTTCGTGAAACACACCCTGTAAAATATGCATAATAAATACAAAATGATGCATACAGCTCTAGCAGTTGTTAATTGAGAGAGAGAGAGAAATGGGGTTAACGTCCACTCGACACAAACTAGGTCATTTCGGGACTAACATATAGTTTAATTTTATTTACATAATTCGCTTGCGCGTAGGGGTCTTTAGCAGTGGGAGGAAACCTGGGGACCCGGAGAAAACCCACGAGGTTGGACAGGCAACCCTACTCCTTGCCACGTACAACCGGGGATTCGAAACCACGCCAGTTGACTCAATGACAGACTTTATGATACAGCGCGCGCACGCTAACCATTCAGCCATCCAACCCCCTAGTTGTTAAAGGAGCAACCTCAGATTTCATATCTGAACTGTTCACGAGCCGTTCTCGAACTGTTCACCAACTGTTCACGAGCTGTTCACCAACTGTTCACAAATGAATGCTATATTTACATAAGATGGTTATTTGTTAAAGATACATTATGGGAGATTTTTATAACGAGTTGGCAGTTCTCACTACATTAGTTAAAAACTAGATAATGTAAAGGGAATAAGCTGAAAATTTCAGCCAAATTGCTTCATTCTAAGCCAAAAAAATGTTATTTTAAAATCACTGTAGCCTCGACTGTCATTGTTATCGCTGTCATGATAATTAAAGATACATTATGGGAAATTTTAATAGAGAGTTGGCCATTCTTGCTATAACAGTTCAAAAATAGATGATGAAAGAAGAATATATTGAAAATTTCAGTCAAATTACTTTATTCTGAACAAAGTTATCACCATTGTAATTTTTGACTAGAAATAGGAGTCAACTCTCGCTTGATTGACAGGCGTTAACTATTCGGTTTGGGACAGGGTTGCAATTCAATTCATATCTCATTTATTTTTACTACAAATTAAAAATAAGACTTGTAATATATAGATAAGTAGCGAAAGTTTGAAAGGAATGGACCAAATCAATGAGGCATAATTATAGCCGACTTCTTGTTAGCCTGCATGTACTCTTGTACTGTGTAACTGGTAGGCCTACGTAACTTCCGAAGCAGACAAATAGGAAACAGTGATCCAATGGGGCTGCAATTCAACTGGGGTGATGTTAGCTGCGATGTTTATCAATTTCCATAATTTTTCTGTAAACGCAAGTGACAAAAGAGCGTATAATACCGACATCCAAACTCTCATTTTAACCACAACTAAACATAACATCAAGGCCGTATCGAACTTTCGATCAAATTGACTGACATGCGGCCTCGCTTCGTACACTCTATCATTTAGCCTCAATCTAAAATTTCCGGGAGTATGACATCAACGTAACGGTTAATCTCTGTTTACGACGCTATTTAAAAATTTAATCAATCAATGAAATCCTGTTTAAATCCAATCCGAATCCAAGCCATCCGTAGGTCTACAGAGTTGATTTTGTAATTGTTGTGTAAATAAAGATCTAATTTATAATTTCTATAACATCTGAAGCCTAAATAAAGACTTGCAATAATCAGATTTAGCTCTTGCATAATGTATGTTTAACAAAGTCTCCATTATCCATTTTTGCATTTGTATAAGTAACTTGATAATTGTGATGGAAGAGAGAGAGAGAGAGAGAGAGAGAGAGAGAGAGAGAGAGAGAAAGAGAGAGAGAGAGAAAGAAAGAGAGAGAAAGAGAGAGAGAGAGAGAGAGAGAGAAATGGGTATAAAGTTCACTCCACACAAACTAGGTCATTTTGGGACTAACATACGGTTCAATTTTATTTCAGTAATACTCTTGTTGGTCAGGGTCTTTAGCAGTGGGAGGAAACCGGAGTACCCGGTGAAAACTCACGAGGTTGGACAGGCGACCCTACTCCTTGTCATGTACAACCGGGGAATAGAAACCACGCCAGTTGACTCAATGACAGACAGTATGATACAACGTGCACGCACTAACCATCGACCATCAAACCCTGACTCATTGACAGACTATATGATCTAAAGAGCATGTGTTACACACCCCGACCCCGACCCCAACCCACCGCCCAGTAACTTACTTTAACAGAGGCTATTAATGAAATATATTCTTTGATAAGTTCGGCCATGGTGAAGAAATCCTGATCGGATTGATCTTTATGTAATTGTTCGATTTTCTCCTCTGTTTCTGCTAATTGTGATAACGCTCGGGATAAACCAGTGTGTTCTTCAATATTTCCTAACATAGCTGCACTCTTCGCGAATACAGCTGTACTCTGACTTAAATCTAAAAGATAAAAAATAAGTATGAAATGTTTTTAGTTTGTCTTCTGCAATTTTTTTTTTTGTTCATTAGCTAAATGGATAAGACGCTGGCTCGCTAGTCTGGAGGTTGCATGTTCGATCCCTGCATTGGCCGAGAGAAAGTTCATCGGGATTTTCAAAAGTAAATATTTTGACATCTACTGTACACATTGTAATGTATAGGCCAGTACTGCACCGCTCTGAAGTCTGCCTAGTGGTAGACGCACCCATAAGTGGGTTGGAGCCACCCCTCAACTGCCCCCAGATTCGGGGAATTGTTCATTTTTCGGGCATTGTATTTCAGTTTTTCGGGGAACAAACATCACAGAAAAAGACCATATAGAAATATAACTATACAAGAGCATCGCTAACGCAGCAATATACGTCCACATTCCTGTTTTGTTTGATATGGTCCAGTTTGCATTGAGGGTCTGTGAAATAAAACTGGGTTGTAGGACTGCTATCAGTTTAACACTTCGTTCACATTAACAGAACACAATTTTATTTTAAAACAATCGATGTCTTTATTCTAAAAGCATGGCGTTTCGAATAGGTATGCAAAGTTTCAAAAGGATCTGTTAAGAATTGCGGTCTGTAGGCAAAACACAAGACACACAAACATTAGGCGTGGCTCTGTCCCAAGGGGTCGAGCATGCACCAAAAATAATAATAGAGGTCGGCCTTAGGATTAAGGAATAAGTATAAATAGTAGCCTTAGGCTATAAGGAATAAGTATAAAAAAGTTTTCAAGATGATCGATTAAGAAATGCGGTCTGCAAGTGACACACAGACATAAAAAAAGAAAATGGGCGTAGCTCTGCCCCTGGGGGTTGGGTATTCACCACAAATAATAGGGATGTTCCTTAGGACAGAAGGAATATGTATGCTAGGTTTCAAGGTGATACGATAAAAAAATGCGATCTGTAGATGACAAACAAATAAATAAATATAATGGATGGGCGTGGCTATGCCCCTGGCGGTCGGGCATGCACCAAAAACAATAGGGATCATCGTTAGGGTATAAGCAATTCATATGAAATTTTTTCAAGACGATTAAGAATTGTGGCCTGTAGGTGACACACAGACAGAAAAAGAAAAGAAAATGGGCGTGGCTCTGCCCCTGGGGGTAAAAAAAACAATAGGGATCATCGTTAGGGTATAAGCAATTCATATGAAAAAATTTCAAGACGATTGATTAAGAATTGTGGCCTGTAGGCGACACACAGACATAAAAAAGAAAATAGCCGTGGCTTTGCCCCTGGGGGTTGGGCATGCACCCAAAACGATAGGGATGTTCCTTAGGGTACAAAGAATAAGTATGCAAAGTTTCAAGATGATACGTTAAGAAATGTGGCCTGTAGACGACAAACAAACAAATACAAAAAATGGGCGTGGCTCTGCCCCGGGGAGGCGAGCATGCACCAAAAACAATAGGGATCTTCCTTGGGGTATAAGGAATAAGTATACCAAGTTTGAAGAAAATCCAGTAAGAATTGCGCCCTGTAGGCGACACAAAGACACACGAAAAGAAAATGGGAAATGGGCGTGGCTCTGCCCCTGGGGGTTGGGCATGTACCCCAAACGATAGGGATGTTCCTTAGGGTACAAAGAATGTGTATGCAAGATTATAAGTTAAGAAATGTGGCCTGTAGACGACAAACAAACAAATACTAGAAATGGGCGTGGCTCTGCCCCTGGGGGTCGGGCATGCACCAAAAACAATAGGGATCTTTCTTGGGGTATAAGGAATAAGTATACCAAGTTTGAAGAAAATCCAGTAAGAATTGCGCCCTGTAGGCGACACAAAGACACACGAAAAGAAAATGGGCGTGGCTCTGCCCCTGGGGGTTGGGCATGCACCCCAAACGATAGGGATGTTCCTTAGGGTACAAAGAATGTGTATGCAAAGTTTCAAGATTATTAGTTAAGAAATGTGGCCTGTAGACGACAAACAAACAAATACTAGAAATGGGCGTGGCTCTGCCCCGGGGGGTCGGGCATGCACCAAAAACAATAGGGATCTTCCTTGGGGTATAAGGAATAAGTATACCAAGTTTGAAGAAAATCCATGAAGAATTGCGCCCTGTAGGCGAACCACAGACACACACACACACACACACACATACATACATACACACACACACACACACACACAGACAGGGGCGACGGCATAATACGTTCACATTATGAATGTGGACGTATAAAAATGAAATCGCTCGCAGTTTATGTTTTGAATACTATAAAACTTAAGTGTAGCCTTGTGGAAAACTCATTTTAGTTATGAATCGGCTCATTCTGAAAATTCAGGTGACAGAAAATTTTCGGGCAAAAAGACTCAGCACCCCCAACTGAGAATGGACCCTAACTTTAACTCTCATGTAAGCCTCACCTTTTCTATGCATTGCTAGAATTTCTACACTAGTATGAAGTTTTCTTAATTGAGTATCTAAAGCTTCTACTTGAATCTGTTTATCTTCAAACCACTGAAAAATAAAAAACATTAATATTCTCCAATTATTTACCCCAAAATACAATGTGAAAAAAACACAGAGCCTATTTCGTTTAGTTTTTATAGTTCCAAATTTCATTTTACTTGTCTTTACTACACTAGGATCTGGAAGAGTTGTTATCATTGATGTGTTCTGGATGGTGTGAGGGATTACCCAATGAAACGGTCTATTACGGCGCGCTTTAGGTATGTTTTGCACGGAACTGTGGGTAATCCACTAGAAACATCAATGCTGATTGGGTAATCAAATGCCTGACGTCATAGATCAAAAGCCGCTCGTATGACCTCTGACGCGACCTTTGACTTCAACCAGTCAGATGTTCATGTAGTGTAGGCCATCGAAAGTATAAAAAAAAAATGAAACGAAATATAGATCTGTATTGTAATCAGATTGTTGAAATTTGTATTTGGGGCAATCTGATTACAATACAGATCTATATTTCGTTTCATTTTTTTTTTATACTTTCGATGGCCTACACTACATGAACATCTGACCGGTTGTAGTGAAAGGTCGCGTCAGAGGTTGTATGAACGGCTTTTGACCCTACGACGTCAGATGTTGACGTTTCTAGTGGTTTAACCACAGTTCTGTGTATCGCACGCCAAGAAATCGCTGTAACTGATGGTTCATTGGCTAATCCCTCATGCCATCCAGAACGCAGGTTATATAACAGCTCTTCCAGATTTTGGTGGAGTAAAAACAAGTCAAACGAAATTTTGAACTATAAAAAACGAAACGAAATAGAATCTGTGTTTTAATCAAATACAAATTTCAATTACATATATTTCAAATCTCAATTATATTTAATATTTCTTTACTTATTCCTAATACTTTTTATTTAATTGTTTTTTTCTAATACTTTTTATTTCTGATAACGAAAACATTTATAGTTTTAATAGGATATATTTCTTATGATCTTTCACGTATAATTTACAATAAAAATATAAAACAAGAAATTAATGCATCATGAAATTAATGCATCATGAATTTAATGCATAATGAAATTAATGCATCGACATATTAAGGCATCAAGACATCAAGGCATCATGAAATGCATCATGAAATTAAATAACCGAATGAGCTAGGGAGTGTTACGCTATGCCAGCCAATCATCAAAATATTAGGATGTCCATTTTATGATCAATGCATGTTATTTTTGGAGGTAGAGAGAGAGAGAGAAAGAGAGAGAGAGAGAGAGAGAGAGAGAGAGAGTGGTAGGTTTAACTTAACTTGACACAAACTAGGTCATTTCGGGACTATCATAAGGTTTAATTTTATTTCAATACTTCGCTTGCGCTTAGGGGTCTTTAGCAGTGGGAGGATACCATAGGACCCACAGAAAACCCATGAGGTTGGACAGGTGACCCTACTCCTTGTCACTTACAACCGGGGAATCGAAACCACACCAGTTGATTCAATGACAGACCTTATGATATAGCGCGCACATGCTAACCATTCGGCCATCCAATCCCCCAATATCTGACGATATCCCTTTAAATGCATTAATTTGTTGCATACATTTATTTCGTGTTTTATAATCCCTTTAATATCACTCGAAGTTTCTATGTTTATATCATGCATGTACACAAATGTTAAAACTAATTCTACTTATTTTAAATATCAATTAGAAAACCAGATAAAAAGCCAAAAACAAATTACACTTGACTTTAAATTTGCCAGCATTTTTTGTTATTCTTTTTACACAGGGGAAATCGGGAGAATAATATAAAATATTATGAGAGTGAAAATCATGCAGGTAATTTCACTATAACCTGGGTATCATTTAATCTTGTGTATTTAGCACTAATTTCTTTCACATTCATTTAATATCTAATCTCTGTTTAAAAATTCGTAAAATTCATTTAAAATCGCCTGAAACCCTCTAATTTGTACTTGTGTCCAGTTTAAAGCTGACCATTCAATTTTGATAATGAGTGTCCAATATTCAAGCGTTTAATTTCTAGACCACTGTTAAAAAATAAAGAACCCAATTGATTATTGATGTATAATGATTAATTTTTTAAAAAGTGGTCAGGAAATTAAATACTTGTAAATTGGACACTCATTATCAAAATTAATCAGCCAGCTTTAAACTGGACACAAGTACAAATTAAATGACATGGGGTGAATTTTCCGAATTTTTGATATTGAATGAATGTGAAAGAAATTAGTGCTAGATACACAAGATTAATTGATACCCAGACTACAGTGTATGATGAACATTTAACTAGATACACAACTACAATAAACAAGTGATCCAAAAACAACAGCAATTTATTTTGTCTAATTAAAGAATCTAACTCTATTTTTCTCTTAATGTTATCAGTTGTACATGGCAAGGAAAGGTGAGAGAGAGAGAGAGAGAGAGAGAGAGAGAGAGAGAGAGAGGGAGGTCATTTTGGGACTAACATATGGTTCAATTATTATTTCAGTAATTCGCTTATGCGTAGGGATCTTAAGCATTGGGAGGAAACCGGATGAACCGGAGAAAGCCCACGAGGTTGGTAAGCGACCCTACTCCTTTTTACATACAACCAGGGAATCAAAACCACTCCAGTTGACCCAATGACAAACAGTTACCACATACAAAATGGATGCTATTTTTTCTTGGTCAGTATTTGTTGTAGTCAAAGTTAAGAGAATTTGTGCTGGAGCGATCAGGACTAATAAACAGGTTCTACTAGTAAATCAAGACTATAATAAATACTAGTAGACAATAAGCTGTCATATTCTATCTATTTACACAACAATACAGCAGTACTCAACATTCACAACAACAAAATAAAATCTCAAATATAACTATTGCACATAATTAAATAAAATTGCAAGGTTTTAATAGACGGATTGTTTCACATTTTCCAAATACATGATCGTCACCATCATGAAACATTAATTGTTAAACATTTTTCAATGGGGGGGTAGGATGGCCACCTGGTTAGTGCGTGCACGTTGTATCATAAGGTCTGTCATTGAGTCAACTGGCGTGGTTTCAATTCCTCGGTTCTACGTGACAAGGAGTAGGGTCACCTGTTCAACCTCGTAGGTTTTCTCCAGTTCCTCAAGTTTTCCCCCCGACTGCTAAAAACCCCTACCCGCAGGCGAATTATTAAAATAAAATTGAAAAATATGTTAGTCCCGAAATGACCTAGTTTGTGTCGAGTGGACGTTAAACCCCATTTCTCCAGTTGATTACATGACAGCGCTAATCATTCGGCCACTCAACCTCCTGACTCAATGATAGACCTTATGTTCTAAGTCACATACGCCAGACCACTCAGCCACCAGATCTCAGTACACCCCCCAGTCTAGAATCAAAACCAATTGATTTAAACCAACTTTTAATGGTCTGCCTCCTGATGGTCACATATATATCATTAGAGTTACCTCCCTTTTGTAAAATCAGAAACTGTGAAACAGTCAATTTGGCTGAATATATTTGCATCATGGATAAATGTAAAACTACCTAAATACAAACATCAGGCTCTTAATTCAGTCAGATTTGCCAAAAGTGACCAGTTAGATCATTTACCAGTCTGCGTCGTCGGATACCACCAGAAAGTAATTTTAGCCTACAGTTCATATAAATTCACGCACAATCAAATTTCTGATTAGTACAATGAAGAAAATAAAATAAAATGGTCAATAAATAAAAAAGTGAAATAAAAAGAAATTGTATTTTGGAAGTAAGAACCCAAGGTTTCAGACAAGCGACATAAATATAGAAAAAAACACGATAACTAATTGGAAATATATGCAAGGCAACTAATAATTAGTAACTAAATGAAATGAAGCTAATTAAAGCCCCAAAATGCCAGGTAATTAAGAAATGACTAATTTACTCTGATTCAGTCAATCATAGCCCCCCAAAAATGGCCTGGTTTGAATAAAAAAATCATTTCAAAATTCTTCTTCTTATTATTATAAACACTAACAATTAAAGATGTCTAGTGCTTGCAAAAATATTTGAATATTTTAATTTGAATAGGGTTTTTTTTAAAATGCTATTTGAACAATTTTGGGGTATTTGTTACACGATGTCAATTTATCAGATTTTTTGTCCCCCATTATACAATATTTTAAGGACGAATGGCTCTAATATTTTTAACCTTAAAATAGATGAAAATGAGTCTAAAAGCACACATAATTTTGATGTGAATTTATAATGTGATTTATATTCAATTTTTAAAATATTGATTTTTAAACAATTATGTTCTGTGACATGCGTGAACAGTCCAAGTTGAACGAAAGTCATTTTGTCTACTTAGTCCATTCTACACATTTTCTTAAAATTATTATTTTGTCGTTTGTGAATTTGCCATTGCTAATTACTTCCGCATTGTCTTGTAGGGTATGTATTTCTTTGTTCATTACAAATGGCGCCCAAAACCAAAGATTCACAATATTTCAAGATATGTAAATGCATCCAAAAGAATGAAACAAGTTGACAATTTGAATTGGAAATTGAAATAGAATTGAAATGATGACTTAGATTATTCGAATAATGACAACATGCAAGAACAATAGTTAAGCTACATGTACGTCAAATTGAATTATTGTTTTTCGGAAACACCTATTCAAAAAAAAAAAAAAAAAAAAAATTAAAAACAAAAAGTATCTGGCTATTCAAATTTTGTTTTCTATTATTTCGTAAAAAACAAACAAGCAAAAATTAAAAACAAAAATTATCTGGTTGCTCTTCTTAAAAGCTTTTAGTTCAAATTTATTAAGTTTTAAATTTCACGAAAATCAAATGGTTATCTATTTATTGAAAATCCTGAAAAAATGAAATGAGGTTTAACGTCCTACTGTTCTGTTCCGACTGGACTAATGAAGATGGCATATATGCCATACAGTGTGCTATGAGGGATATTTTGCCCGGCCTACTCTTATATCGAATTCCAACTGTCAAGGGGTCTTTTATGTGCACACCAATGTGTACATGGGACCTTGGTTTTTCGTCTAAACCGAATGACTATACGTTGTCCCTAGTCAGGCCCTCCGTCCTGCACCACTGACAAGGGGAAACCACGCCGGAAAATTCCCAATGTACTTTCTCAGCCAACACTGGGATCGAACACGGGACCTCCAGACTAGCGAGCCAACGTCCTACTCACTGAGCCACCGTGGCTCCCAAATCACGAAGAGAGAGAGAAATGGGGTTTAACGTCCACTCAACACAAACTAGGTCATTTCGGGACCAACAAATGTTTATTAATTTTATTTCAATAATTTGCTTGCGCGTAGGGGTCTTTAGCAGTGGAAGGAAACCGGAGGACCGGAGAAAACCCACAAGGTTGGACAGACGACCCTACTCCTTGTCAAGTACAACCGGGGATTCGAAACCCCGCCAGTTGACTCAATGACAGGCTTTATGATACAGCGTGCACATGCTAACCATTCAGCCATCCACCCCCCAAATCACGAAGAATTAAATATTTAACTGACTGGGCATAAGAACGACAGTTACAACTGACACATCTGAATATTTCTAAAATGATTTTTTCCCTGATTTTATTAACTTTTATTCTGGCATGTTGGGGCTTTTTAACATTCAAAAAAATAACAAGAGAATTTACCTCCATCTGATTTTCCCACTGTTCGGAAGGAGATCGCGGGACAATTGAACAGAAATAAGTATGTAGGTATAGTCCTACCCACTGGCAGCAAGAAGGGCAGAAAATGGCCGATGAAGTGATGATAAATGAGGAATGACACAATGAAGGGATATCAGAATGATCGAATAAATAAAAACGAAATTAAAACTTTATTAACTACAACATTTTCTCATTCTCTTTTCCTCATCACTAATCATATTTTTAAAAAGTCAAAGTATTATACTCTCTGTCTGATACCTTGACTGCATTAGCCGACTGATTAATTAATTACGACATTCTCTTTTCCAGTTTATTCCCTCGGAAATTGAGAGGATCATCATTAATCATATTTTTACAGAGTCAAATTATGATGCTGTTTGTCTGATACCTTGACTGCATTAGCCGATTGGCTCATATACATTAAACTAGTCCTAGTCAGATAGGTTGCCAGGCAATGAAACATATGCTCACAACAGCTAAATCGTCTGGGCAGTCAACATGAGTTGTCGCATTTTTTAAATTTTGTCGGTAATGAAACTTTTATAATACACTAAAATCTGATTAAGAGTAACAACTTATTAAGTAATTATCAGAAAATCATTAGAATTTGTTTGGCCCATGCTAACGTTTAGTATACGAAACTTTACTATCATGGATTTAGCTGTTCAAGTTATCAAAAATCATTGAAAATCAATAAACTTTTTCGTCTCAAGACCTTTAACTCTGTGTATCAATCTAAAGTCAATCGAATGATCACTTTGGCCTGTAGAACATCCGCAAGATTTTTCGAAGTAATCAAGAGCCATAACTCTGGCATTAATTATTGGAAATCCTTGAAAATAACGGTGTCTTTGTCTCATGACTGTAAGCCCTGTGTATAAATTTACAATCCTTCTGATGATAACTTTGGTCTCTAGAGCATCCACAAGATTTTTCAAAGTGGTCAAGGGACATAACTCTGGCATTAATTATTGGAAATCCTTGAAAATAAAGAGGTGTCTTTGTCTCATGACCGTAAACACTGTATATAAATTTACAATCAATCTGATGATAACTTTGGTCTCTAGAGTATCCACAAGATTTTTCAAAGTGATCAAGGGACATAACTCTGGCATTAATTATTGGAAATTCTTGAAAATAAAGAGGTGTCTTTGTCTCATGACCTCAAACACTGTGTATAAATTTACAATCAATCTGATGATAATTTTGGTCTCTAGAGTATCCACAAGATTTTTCAAAGTGATCAAGGGACATAACTCTGGCATTAATTATTGGAAATTCTTGAAAATAAAGAGGTGTCTTTGTCTCATGACCTCAAACACTGTGTATAAATTTACAATCAATCTGATGATAACTTTGGTCTCTAGAGTATCCACAAGATTTTTCAAAGTGATCAAGGGACATAACTCTGGCATTAATTATTGGAAATCCTTGAAAATAAAGAGGTGTCTTTGTCTCATGACCTCAAACACTGTGTATAAATTTAAAGTCAATTGTATATTAACTTTAATCCTCTAGAGTGTCCACAAATGTGATCAAGGGCCATAACTCTGACAGTAATTATCAGAAATCTTTGACAACTTGAAACCAGTCGACATACACAAGTGTAACACGATTAGGAGATTGTTGCAAATGGTTATACGGGTGGCCACTGTGGTCTGTTAACTTTATTGATAAAACGAAGTCGGCTAATGCAGTCAAGACATTAGACCTGTTATAATACTGTGACAGTGAAGATATGCTCAATGACTAACCATTGCGTGATCTCGACGAGGAATACATGTATATATAAAAGATTTTTTTTTTTATATAATCATGGATAACATAAATAAAGATAAATATTTCTTTAAAATAACTCAATTTCTTTCAATTATCAAAAGACTAACAGTACACAATTTCTATGGGAATACAATCACTGGTTTTATTCTAAAAGCACAACGTTTCGACATGTATCCTCTTATCGTTATCAAGCACAATAACATTTACATGTAGTGTGTGTGTGTGTGTGTGTGAGTGAAATAGCTTAATTTTACGTCCGCTTCCACCGACGTGATATCGCAGACAATAACATGTTATGTATACATGGTGCAATATTTTACAATGTGATAATGATAAGAGGATACTTGTTGAAACGTCATGTTTTTAGAATAACCATGGTGATTGTATCCCATAAAAATTGTGTTCTGTTAATGTGTTTCCCAATCGCTAAATGCCATTTAAAGATTATGTTTCAAAAGACTGATTCATATTTTTGCAATGGTTAGCATGTGTCACATCCTTCTCCTATATACTTTGTACAGATCTATTAGAATTATGAAACTGGGAATTGAATGATTTTTATTGTGGGAGAATTATAAAATTTATAAGTCTAATGATTAAAATATTCTTCTAACGCCATTTACATTCGCACTATGGCACACACTGTAACCTGGGTATCATTTAATCTTGTGTATCTAGCACTAATTTGTACTTGTATCCAGTTGAAAGCTGACTAATTAATTTTGATAATGAGTGTCCAATTTACAATTCAAAAATTAATCATTATACATCAATAATCAATTAGGTTGTATATTTCTTAAAAGTGAACGAGAAATTAGACGCTTGTAAATTGGGCACTCATGATCAAAATTGAATGGTCAACTTTAAACTGGACACAGTACAAATTAGATGATTTTTAACGATTTTTATGAATTTTTGAACACAGATTTGATATTAAACGGAACTGAAAGAAATTAGTGCTAGATACACAACATTAAATGATACCCAGGCTACAGTGACAGTTAAACGATGTCATCACTTTCCATTAAGCCAATCAAAAGATGTCTTTGACAAATTAAAATGACGTAAACCCGAATTTAAGAGACATAAAAATGAAGGAGTAATTTAGTCTTCAGCATATTAAAACCAGAAGTAAATAAAAATATAACTTTAATCCAAAATTTATCTAATATTCACAATTTGTGTACATGCAAGATCTTCTCCAAAATAATCACCAATTATATTTTTCTTAAAAAATTTTAAAAAAAGAAAAATTGTCAAAGTTCTACCTACCTCATCAGATTCGTCCATTTTGAATGTGATTTTTTCCATAGCATCACCAACTTTATGGAAGAGACGTAACATACCAGCTCCGCTTAGAGCAGAAGTACTGGTTGCCCTTGGCAATTCGTCTTTCTCCAAAAATTCACGGAAATCTTGATCGTTTTTCAGAATAGGATGTTGAGCTGTTCTGCAGAGATATCTGTTCAAATACATTAAGATATGAATTTGATGAGGTCTATGTTTAAACATAGATTATGCAAGAGCTAAATCTGTCTATTGCAGGTCTTTCTTTAGGTCTGAAATGTTATCTAAATTATTAATTAGACATTAATTAATTTATCCAGGCCATAATAACTCTCGATGGCATCGCTAGCCTGGGATCTTTAGTGGAATGTGAGCCAAGTTACTGCATAACTTTCCTTCACGATTTAACGATTAAATGGATAATCGAGACTATGCTGTTTATCATACTGACTTTAGTAATGATGATCAAGGCTAGGCGGAAATTTCAACCGCTTAGTTCTCGGTTCATAGTGGATCAATTTGAATGAAATTTTTCGCAAATTGCCTTTACATTATCTAGTTTTTAACTATTATAGTGAGAATTGCCAACTCATTATCGAATCTCCCATAATATATCCTAAAGTTAGCAACAATGGCTTGTCGCAATTTCAATTTCCAACTGTCAGGGAGGGCAATTAAAAGGGGTTTAAAGTCCTACTGTTCTGCTCTGTCTGCGCTAAAAGGAAGACGAGCATACGCCATACAGTGTGCTATGAAAGAATGAAATGGTGTTTAACGTCCTACTCCGACTGGGCTAATGAAGACGGCCATATACCATAGTGTGCTCTGATGGAAATTTTGCCCGGACAGCGGCACTACGGCCTGCTCTTATTATCGAATTACACCTGCCAATGTGTACATGAGACCTCGGTTTTTCCGAACGACTATACGTTGTCCCTTGCCAGTTCCTCCATCCTGCAACACGACGAAAAATCACGATGAACTTTCTCAGCCAATTATAAAATTATACCTTTCAAGAGCTGACCGTCTTTTCTCTATGAATTCTGCTGATCCCGATTCTTCTTTAGACATTTTTACCTTGGTCATACCTATAATAATTATATTGATCCAGGTATATATAGAGGTAAATTGTGCATTAATACTTTGTGCATGAATAGTTTAGAGAGGTTAAAAACACTTATATGGATATACTACTTCTGAATTTATTAACATGATAGACATACAGGCAATTAATGATTTATAACAAAAATGTGGTGCAATATATAGATAACAATTGGAAACCATTCGCTTGTGCGTAGTGGTCTTTAGAAGTTGGAGGAAAGCGAAGGACCCCACTCCTTGTCACATACAACGGGGGAATCGAAACCATGCCAGTTGACTCAATGACAGACCTTATGATACAAACCGCACGCGCTAACCTAACCAATTGCCTTTCGACCATCCATGCCCGCCCGTCTCCCCACACTATTTTTAAAGACCCCTACACATATGCAGGGGCGGATCCAGGAATCTTTGCAGTAGGGGGTGTTCCCCCCCGCTCTAAATCCACCCCTGATATGTTAGTCCAAAATGTTCTTTTTTCCCTTGTCTATATCATTAAATAATGAGCGTTTTTCCAAAATACAAAAAAAATAATTCCACTTTTGTGTTAAAATTCCAAAGTAGTGCCGAATAAACCTTTCACCTTGTTCTTTTTAATTACAAATAAATAGTATTTAAAAAATATGTGCCAGAAGTCAGGAATTTTAAAGTGATTTTTTTTTTTTTTCCTTATTTTGGAAGAAATATCATCAGATTTCCTGTTTTAAATGTTATACTATCTGACCTAAAACACTTTTTTCTGGTGCTGCTGGTACAACTACGCCAAGATGAACGTGTTTCTCGGCTAACCTATCGTGTAGACCTAGAAAATCACTAAATCTTCTAACAACCATTAGTTCAGCTTTACGGAATGCAGGAATCGTAGTCTGAAAATAATAACGAATATGGTTAATAAATTATGGTTTATTTCTCTGACAAGAAGGCCAACACAAGAGAGACAGAGAGAGAGAGAAATGGGATGTAACGTCCACCCAACACAAACTAGGTCATTTCGGGACTAACATATGGTTTAATTTTATTTCAACAATTTGCTTGCCCGTAGGGATCTTTAGCAGTGGGAGGAAACCGGAGTAAACCCACAAGGTTGGACAGGCGATCCTACTCCTTGTCACACACAACCGTCGATTTGAAACCACGCCAGTTGAATCAATGACAGGCTTTATGATACAGCGCGCACATGCTAACCATTCGGCCATCCAACCCCCCAGGCCAACACAAGAATGGTTGTCTAAAATAATAACGAATGTGGTTAATAAATTATGGTTTATTTCTCTGACAAGAAACTGGACCCTCCAGGTTACTGAGTCGGTGACTTTTACCCACTAAGCCACAACCGCTGCCTTAAAGCAAATGAAATTGGCATTTAATGGCCGAATGGTAAGCATGTGCGCATCGTATCAAAGATCTGCCATTGAGTCAACTGGCATGGTTTAGATACCCCGGTTGTACATGTATGTGACACAAACTAGGTCATTTAGGGACTAACATATGGTTCAATTCATTTCAATTATACGCTTGCCCGTAGGGGGTCTTTAGCAGTGGGAGGAAACCAGAGGACCCGGAGAAAACCCACGAGCTTGGATAGGCGACCCTACTTCTTGTCACGTGCAAGCAGGGAATCAAAACCATACCACTTGACTCAATGACAGACCTTATGATACAGCGTGCACATGCTAACCATCTGGCCATCCAACCCCCACAAAATGATAGGGCTTACTTAAAGGAGCTAAATCGCTAATATTTGGGACCTAGAAATTGACCAAAATGGGTCGAAACGCATATAATAATGTAATCTGATTGTATATAAACTGATTTACATTCAATTGTTTCCTTTTTGACTCTAATTTCAAATCAGTTATGTCCAGCGAAATACAGCATGTGTCTCAACCCTATAGCAATTTCTAACGTCTGGTTATTCCAGTCTATTAAGCAGGCTCTCCAGTTGAATATGTCTAGCCTCGTTCTTTCTGGTCACTTGTTGCAAATGACGCTAAAACGCACTATGGTACACGATTCGTGTACCAATGGTAAAATGTTTATTTTGTCTTAAATATTGGATATCAGAAGCCTGCCTTTTCTTGCTAAGATCACAACATCAATGTTGATTTGAATTGACAAATAATTCGTATTTTCAACGTGTAAGACTTAGTTACTTTAAGTAAAAGATGATTGTAAAACAAAAATAAAAATGGTTGGAGTGACCAAGTTTAGATTTTTCGTTGATTCTATAAAGTAGTAAGTTTTTTAAAACTTTAAATACTGTGTAATTCAACATGGCGCCCGAGAGGTTTAATATATTTCGGTACGAATTAGTACCAAATGGTTTATTTATATGAGAGTCAAAGTTTGGACTATGCTTTGTAAAAGATGAACTTACTCTAGTAAGAACTTTATAAGCTATATAAGCTGACATTCCATCACCAACTTTATGAGGATCTGTAACACGAATATCAATAGTATATTCATCTTGTTCTTCTTCTACCTCAATCTGAAATAATTAAATAATACAGTAGTCTTTAAAAACATAGGTTGCCAGGCAACGAAACATACGCACACAGCAGTTAAGCCGTCCGGGCAGTCAACAAGGATTGTTGCATATTTTTTCTTTTGTCCATAGTGAGAAATGGGGTTTAACATCCATTCAACAAAAACTAGGTCATTTCAAGACTTACATATGGTTCAATTTTATTTCAACAATTCGCTTGCACGTAGGGGTCTTTATCAGTGGAAGGAAACCAGAGGACCCGTAGAAAACCCATGAGGTTGGACAGGCGATCCTATTCCTTGTCAGGTACAACCGAGGAATCGAAACCGAGCCATTTAGTTATGAGAACATTTACAACACATGAAAATCTGATTACGAGTAATAACCCGTGAAGTAATGATAAGAAAACATTAGAATTTGTTTTGATTGTTTCTCTCATGACCGTAATCAATTTATATTAACTTTAGCCTCTAGAGCTTCTACAAGATTTTTCAAAGAGATCAAGGGACGTAACTCTGACAATAATTAGCAGAAATAGTTGAAAATCAATAGGCTTCTGCGTCTCATGACCTTAAACAATTGTGGCCGCCAGATCGATGACAGGGAACGACGGCAATATACGATCACATTTCAATGTGGGTGATAAAAATGTAAAAGCAAGATTTGGGAATCGACTGCACCTACGTGTAACCCCTCTCGAGTTGATATTTAGACACCTTATGACTTATTTTTGGATCAGGAACTGATCGCTAACCGTTACTCATCCTGTTCTTGGGGTGACGCTCTTCGAAAAAGCCCAAGGCTCCGTCAATTCGAGTCTGATCAACATGAAATTTGGCATGCTTCTTCTTTGAAGAATTTTGCATCGATTTGGTGAATTATATTTTAGAATTTCATCTAACAACATGATCAGTTCCTGGTCCATAGCACGATTGTACCTGTTATCTCAATTCTAAGGATTTATATGAAATGAAATGAAATGGGGTTTAACGTCCTACTGTTCTGTTCTGACTGGGCTAATGAAGACGGGCATACGCCATACAGTGTGCTATGAGGAAAATTTTGCCTCAGCAGCGGCACTATGGCCTACTCTTATATCAAATCCCAACTGCCAGGGATCTTTTATATGCACGCCAATGTATACATTGTCAGGCTACCGTACTGCACCACTGTCAAGAGGAAGACACGTCGGAAAATCATAATGAACTTTCTTAGCCTATGAAGGGATTGATCACGCGACCTCCAGACTAACTAACTAGCGTCTTACCCACTTAGCCACCGTGGTTCCCCCAAAGATTTATAGATTTACTGTGTTTATTAAAATTTTAATATGCACTGAGAGTTAAGAGTTTGTAAAGACTGACTTTTTTTAACAGTTATTTCTATTTTTAGAAATTGCATTTCTATTTGCCATCCGCTATCACTAGGGACCGGGTATCATTCAGATTTGATGAAAAAAGGAAAGAAACTGAGCTTACCATCTAGAATCTAATACACGTATCCGATAGATTGCCATCCAGAAAGTATTATATCATATGCCATCAAGATTCATCAAAAAAACGCCTAGTTTCTGCTACCATGTAGTTTGAGAAACACTGTTTAGTTTTGATGACCGATGTCAAAACTAAACAGTGTTTCTTAAACTACACGTAGCACAAACTGGACATTTTTTTGATGAATCTTGACAACGGCATTTAACACTTTCTGGATGTCAATCTATTAACTGGATACGACTATTAGATTCTAGATGGTAAGCTCAGTTTCTTTCCTTTTTTCGTCAAATCTGAATGATACCCGGTCCCTAGTGTATATGCAAGCCATTTGAAGGCAGCATAACTGTGAAATCTTTTACAAATCCATTCTTTATACAGGTTTATTTTAGCTTGCATTCTCTTAATGAGATCTTAAAGATGATTTGATGATATATTTGGACTAAAAACATAGGTGTGTTCCCACTTAGCCGGCAGACTGTTAATCCTTTGATTGATCTTAAAACTATAGTCTGTTTAAAGGTAGTCACTCAAGAACTGTTCACTAGTGTTCAGCGTTAATGAGCTCTTAATCCCTCTTAATATAATTTATTAACCAACTAATTAATGACATTTTGAACACAGTTCATGCCCGCGTTATGATTTCAAACATGAATTCAATTCACTATATTAATATAAATAGGCCTCGCGTTAAGAAATATCGACAACTTGATACAAGAATTGAACATTTGAAAACACAGTTATTAAATGGCTCTTTAAGTGTAAATCGGTATGGAACAAATATTTCCTATTTAGTGGGGCTGTAAAATGATTGTTATGTTGTAAGGCATTTATTTATAAATTATATAATGCTATTTAATAAAAGTTAAATGTGTAAATTGTAATGCATTTTTATATGTGTAAATCATTTAATGTTATTTAATAAATATTAAATTTGTTAAAATCAATATATTTTTATATGTGTAAGCTATTTAATGTTATTTAATAAAAGTTAAATTTGTTAAAATCAATACAGTTTTAGTCTTAAAAAAGATATGGACTATAGTTTATAACACCATTGTTCTAGGATTAACTTTGGATTAGTGGCAAAATTTGACATCAAAGCCTGCCGGGTAAGTGGGAACACCCCAAAACATATTCAAACTAATTAATCTATCATAATTTGGCTTCAAATCCTTCTCAAAACATTGCAATTGTCAGGGAATACCCGGCTATAAAAAATCGATCAAAAGAGGTCATGTTTGTGTCACGTGACACAACGGGTGCTAAGTCGGGGGAGAATTTATTGCACACAAAATGACGATGATGCCTTTATCACTGACTATTTATCACAAATATCGAAGCCTAATCAAATTCTCAGATTATTCACTGCCCATGTCTTTTTCCGTGATTTTTATCTCAGAAAGTGTTGTACGTCTAACTCTTCATAAAGTTTATCAATATGTACATCAAGAGCTCAATCTCCACGTGCAACCTTCAAAGTCACGCGTGCAGACACTCATAATCACCGGGCTGTTGATTAGGGAAATCAGTACATTTTTGTCATGTATGCGCTCCATAAGTGTTTTTCAGTGAATTTTTCTAGTAAGATTGGATATTTCTACTTTCCATATATACCAAAATTGACATACTTTTATTGGAAATAACCACCCGATAAATACTTTTCTGGGAACCTAGCTTTAAATAAAGTAGTACATAATTATTTTTTTTAAACGGCATAGATAACTCTAAAACAGAAAGACAAAGATATGATATCACCCTTGGTGGAAAGTTGACGTAAAACTCAAGAAATGAATGAACATACCTCATCATGTGAGTTTTTGGCAGCTGAGGAACCTTTAGATGATGATGTGGAGGATTGAGAAACGTTAATTAAAGGTTTTTCTGCTTGTAATAAGTTCGGGGCTTCTATGATTGGTTGAGCTGGAGGAGCTGTGGCAACAGCAGCGGCAACTGGAGCAGATGGCACTGTTTTCTTCTCTTCCACTTCTTCTTCAGAATCAAGGGCCACCTCTGACCCTTGTCCTAAAATACAATACAGGTTGTTTTGTTCATGAAACGTTTGCAATTTACCATGATGAAATCTTTTAAAGTCCGGTAATACAAGTTTAAAGGAGCATTAGGATAGGATTAGATAAAGAACTGACAGTTCTCGCTTTAATACTTAAAAGATAGATAATAAAAAGAGAATATGCTAAAAATTTCAGTCAAATTACCTCACTCTGAGCCTAGATAACAACGATAAAATTTTAGACTAGCTTCGATTGTCATTTCTACTGTTCAAAACATATTTGAATCTACTAAATATCGCAGGCATCCGATGGCATTGAGAGTTAATTATGGTCTGGATAAGTTAATTAATGTCTAATTAATAATTTAGATAGAGAGAGAGAGAGAGAAATGGGGTTTAACGTCCACTCGACACAAACTAGGTCATTTCGGGACTAACATATGGTTTAATTTTATTTACATAATTCGCTTGCACGTAGGGGTCTTTAGCAGTGGGAGGAAACCGGAGGACCCGGAGAAAACCCACGAGGTTGGACAGGCGACCCTACTCCTTGCCACGTACAACCGGGGATGCAAAACCACGCCAGTCGACTCAATGACAGACTTATGATACCGCGCGCGCACGCTAACCATTCAGCCATCCAACCCCCCTAATTTAGATAGCATATCAGGCCTAAAGAAAGACCTGCAATAGGCAGATTTAGCTGTTACATAATGTATGTTTAATTGGTACTATTAAGAGAGAGAGAGAGAGAGAGAGTTTAACGTCCATTCAACACAAACTAGGTCATTTCGGGACTAACATATGGTTGAATTTTATTTCATTAGTTCACTTGCGCGTAGGGACCTTTGGCAATGAGAGAGAACCCGAGGACCTGGAGAAAACCCACGAGGTCGAACAGGTGACCCTTCTACTTGTCATGTACAACCAAGGATGGCTATAACATTTTGACCTTTTCAAATCATTTAAATTCGGCATCTTTTACTTTAGTTTCATGGATAATGTAAATATTAGAACCAATTTATAATTGTATGTTGCTTTTTGAGCCAGAAAGGGAAAAACAAATCATTTTATTTATGAGATTAACTTTTTGCCTCATGGGTGGGCGGATCATGGGCCTGTACAGATCATGTACTGGTATAGGCCTATAGAACTACATGTAGCCTACACACATAAACTACAATACTGTCTCAGACATACCTCCAAATATATCATCATCCTTTTCAAGTTCACTTTCTGCATTCAGATCTACATTGGTAGATGGTTCAGCATTGCTTTGACCGTTTGATTGATCCGGCACCTTGCAATTAAAAAGAATATACATGGTCATTTACTCATTAGAAAACAATTGTATTACCGCCAAAAAATAAAAAATTAGACTACTAGTACTAAAACAATTGTATTACCAGACAAAAAACAAAAGTAAAAACTCGACTACTGGTATCTGTATTTATTAAAACATATATTTTTATTTTTTTTCTATTCAACAACCTAAATATTGCAAATCAAGAAAAGCTTTCTTTGAGGAGAATATACATGTACCAGAAAAGTAAAATATATTTAGTATTTATTAGTAACAATTCTTGTCATTTTATTTTGATATTTTTGTATTTATTGAGAGGGGGCTGGACATTAGAGTATAACCTTAATTCCAATATCGATAATTTGTTAGCAAGAATCAATAATAAAAAAAAATCCATTACAAAAAAATAGTATATGACTCACTGGCGAATGCTTTATAGTCAGTCATAAATAGCAAGATCTCGATCTCAGAGTCTCGTATTATAAGCATACGTGAAAACGCCTCATAAAAAATGATTGAAATCCGACGTTCATGGCGTGCAGAGGCAGTTTTAATGAATTGTACAGACGCACGGTAAATAGATCTTGCTATGTAATATTTTTTTACCTCTTTAGAATCTGCGAATAAATCGTCATCGTCTTTTTGTTGATCCTCCTCCTCAAATGGGGGTGGAACTGTTCCGTCCGCCATGTTGTATATCACGTGACCAATTGCCGGCTTTGAGCTGAGTTATTTCCCCTACACCTCATTATGAATTCAATGATCGAGTATCGATGTTTATGACACCCAACAAATTTCAGTTAATGTAAAGTTGAAGTGTATAAAAAAAAAAAAAAAAAATAAAAGATAAAATAAAAATTGAAAAACGACATCTACAAGTATTTTTTAATCAGCTGACATATTGTGTTTCTAATTCTTCTAATGTTGGTAAAGTGGATCGAAACGCGATGTAGAGTTCACACTCACAGTAAAAATTATAAAATTGTTTTAAAAACAGACAAACATAAAATTATTTACATTGATATGCATGTGATAGGCTGACTGTTAATGTGAACAGCCCCCTCGCTGATATGACAGGCGTAAATATTAAATACCCGCAAAACAGCAAAATACATTTGAGAGTTATATTGGGCGTGGGATGGTGTGTTTATACAACACAATAATACTATTTCCAGATTGGGTCAGGTTAAAAATATCCGGAATATAAAACCAAAGGTGAAATGAAATGGGGTTTAACGTCCTACTGTTCTGCTCCTACTGAACTAATCAAGACGGGCATACGCCATATATAGTGCGTACTATGAGGAAAATTTTACCCGGACAGCGGCACTACGGCCTACTTTTATATCGAATTTCAACTGTCAAGGGATCTCTTACGTGCACGCCAAAGTGTACACGGGACCTCGGTTTTTCGTCCCATCCGAACGACTAGACAGCTGTCCTTGTCAGGCCCTAAAACCAAAGGAAAAAAAAGTATACCAATGAAAAACAAAAGGAACAACTTATGATTTTCCACCGCTGTTCACCGGACCTCTGCTCACAAACACTTTATTAAAATAAAAATATACATGGTAATTCGCCGCGAGTCACGTTGGCCCAGTCAGTAAGACACTCGCTCGCTAATCAGGAGGTCCGAGAAATTTCTCGGAGATTTTCCAGTGTGGTTTCTCGTCCCGTACGTAGCACTGGCAAGGAAGTGCGTTAGTCTTTCGGATGGAACGAAAAATCGAGGCCCTGTGTAATACACTCTGGCGTATACGTAAAAGAGCCCCTGACATTTGGATTGCAATTTTTGTCCGGGCGAATTTCCCTCACTGAACACTGCCCGCCTTCAATAGACCTGGAACAGAACAGTAAAACCTTAAATTCCATTTCGTCCATTCAGTCATTCGCTAATTGGACGTTAAACCCCAGTTATCTCCCTTTCTTCCATCGTCATCATGGCACGTGTTCGGATATAAATGAAATGGGGTTTAAAGTCCTACTGTTCTGTTCTAACTGGGCTAATGAAGACGGGCATACGCCATACAGTATACTACGAGGGAAATTTTGCCCGGACAGCGGCACTAGGACCTTCTCTCACATCGAATGTGTAGGCCTACACAGGACCTCGTTTTTTTCGTACCATCCGAACGACTAGACGACTGACAAGGGAAAACCACGCAGGAAAATCCCGCTGAACTTTCTCGGCCAAGTCAAGACTGAGTGCGAACCAGCGATCTCCAGGCTAGCGAGCCAGTGTCTTACTCACTTAGCTTTACAATTCGAACACCAGAAGTTTGTTTTCTCTAACAATATCCAAGAAAGAAACAAGATATGTTAGAACAGTGTTCGGTTTATTTATATGTGGCTACATGACACAATGATGTACAATTAATAACATAAAAAAAAAACAATGGTTGTAAAAACTATGATTGGAAGAGATATTGACTTTCACGATGGAAGTTAGGATTAAGGGAGTCAAAGCTTTTTCACAATATCCACTTTTTATTATTAGAAGGCTACTAGGGTTTTAAGTCCCCTTCCACCTGCGGAGATATTATAGAGAAGTAAAATGAAAGGAAAAGGGGTTTAACGTTCTACTGTTCTGTTCTGACTGGGCTAATGAAGACGAGCATACGCCATACAATGTGCTACACGAGGGAAGTCATGCCCGGACAGCGACGCTAAGGCCTACTCTTATATCGAATTACAACTGCCAAGGGATCGTTTACTTTCACGCCAATGTGTGCACGGGACCTCGAATTTTCGTCCCATTCTAACGGCTATATGATAGACAAACAAAATGAAAAATGAAATTAAATGAAATGGGATTTAACGTCCTACTGTTCTGTTCCGACTGGACTACGGGCATACCCCATACAGTGTGCTATGAGGGAAATTTTGTCCGGGCAGCGACGCTAAGGACCACTCATATATATTGAATTACAACTGCCAAGGGATCTTTTACGTGCACATAGACAAACAAGTAAAGTAGATAGAATATAGTTATTTCTGGTAACGATACTAACATCAGTCATGGGTTACTATGTAAACAAAACCCACCGAAATATAATTCCAGCACCACAGAAACTTGTTGGTTGATTGTATACATTTTTTATGTAAGAGTTATCAATCATCCTCTTTTTTTGGATCGAGAAAAATTCCAAACAAATCAGCCTCTATTCTAAATATTTCTCTAATCTTGGAACTCGGCCACATAAAACAATCTCGAGTGGAAGGTAGTTTCCGCGTTACAGGCAAATTTTATTCTTTGACCATTCGTCTTTTATTAAGAATCGGTGTAGTATATTTCCTCTAATCTTTGATGGTGGTAGAGATGATAATGCTAAAATAATAAATCCCCACCGAATCATAATATATTTTTATTTCATTGATACATCAAGGTTATATGATCAATCAGAAGGTTAGAAAAATAACAATTTTCAGGTCAGATCTACCCATATAACTTATTAATCTCTTCTCTGTAAACATTTTTCTAGCTATGGGCTCATAACCCAAATTATTCTCTTATTATACTATGACATCTCCTACGTGTGGCGTATACCTTCCCAATGTAAAAGAACAAAGTTAAAGGCGCTAAATCGCTAATATTTGGGACCTTGAAATTGACACAAATGGGTCGCAACTCATATAATAATGTAATATGAAAGTATATTAACTTATTTACATTCAATCGTTTCCGTTTTTACTCTAATTTCAAGTTATGTTCGGCGAAATACGCCAGAAATCTCAATCGAATGGCAATCTCTAGCGTCTGGTTATCCAGTCTACATCGATAGTATATGACTTGTGGAATATGTCTAGCCTCGTTCTTCGAGTCCTTTGTTACAAATGGCGCTGAAGCCCAGTACAGTACACGATTCGTGTACCAATGGTAAATTGTTTATTTTGTCTTAAATATTGGATATCAGAAGCCCATCTTTTTCCGGTAAGATCACAACATCAATGTTGATTTAAATTGACAGATAATTCGTGTTTTCAATGTCGAAGATTTTGGATGATATTGAGTTAGAGACTTAGCTACTTTAAAGGTCTATAGCAATCACTTGTCGGAGAGGGGGGGGCTGATATTCTGACAAGAACAATGTGCCTGACGGTCGGGGCGGCACGACAAATACGGTGGTCCACACATGTAGGCTTTACGTCATCATGACATTGGATATTGACTAAGAGTAGTTTTTAAACTATCGCGTACACAAGCAATGTTCCTGTCAGAATGACAGGGGGATAACTCTGGAACAAAATGTTTGCGTTAATGAGAAAACGTTGACAGATGAACGGACGGACGGGCGGACAAATGGGCGGACAGGGGCGGTGATTAACTGCGTGTTGGCGCATAAAACATGATCACTGGCATATATTTATTAACATCCTAGGGCAGATATAGGTCGAACTTAGCAAAAAAGAGAAGACGGAAGGACTTTTGTCAGCCCCCCCCCTACCGTTTCCTCCAGCGTCCCACATGCGTAATTATATCCAATACAAAATAAGTTAGTCCTTAATATAATAGAAGTGTTAAATTCCATTTGATCTTTTATACATTTATAAATAGACTAATCTCTTCCTCCATTGATATTCACCTCGGTCTTCATCCCGCAGTCACGATCGACATCCTGTCTCTGAGGGTTCTTCAAACACACATGTCACAATTATAACTGATGATCTTCCGCTGTTAATGACCAATCTGAAGGGTTTTACTCAACGGAATTTAACGATTATCTGTAATTGATATCTATATTGACCATTGTCAAATTACATACTGCACACAGAGAACTATCTACTGTACTTCTAGAATAGATCTCTGTCCTAAATGGCCGCCATCAATCTGTTTCACAGAGAATTACGAGTCTTCTAATATCTCTGTAAAAGATGACTGAGTTTAACACGTGCCGTCACAGCACGTGGCGTCAATCATTGGCTGAATGGCGCGTGCATTGTCTACATAAGACGTTACTGATTCGGGCAGAATGCTGCCTTTTAGTCATTTTAATACCCATTTACACTAAATAGGAAATCATTTTGACCTACAAATACGTCAAACGTCTTTATTTATTTTTCTAATACATCAAAAAAATGTTTTAGAATTTAATTTGTCGGTGGAAAAAAGTTAATATTTGAGACTCATTAAGTAGCATTGATGTCATCCTTATCAGTGATTGTAGCGGTCTAGCGAATATTCACCGCTGATCAGTGTGGACCGCCATATCTAACAATTGGTATACTGTTTTGTAAAGCGGTCCTACCACGGTTCAAATCTATTATACACAAAAAAACTAATTAAACTTTTTCAATTTTATTAAATGCAAGCAGAATATACACTTCTTAGAATTCTCGGAATATATTAAGAAGTGATTTTGGCTAAAATCGTCGATTTAGGACTTAAATTTCGGTCAACTAGCTTACTGTCTGTTCTCAAGCGGAGCTATCTGTAGATAGTGTAAGTTTAGTATGGTCAAATTATTGACCATTAATATTTACATGGTCTGATAAGTTCTTCCTTTGTGTCTTTTTGCCTGATGATAACATCCTGTCAAACTCCTTGAAACACGGATGTGGCTCTTAAATTTGATCATGCCACCATGGTTAGGGTTAGACTCAGTTTACAAGTCACAACTAAATCTGTAAAAAAACAAAATAACACAACACAGTTCTATGGATATCAATCACTATATTATATACACACGACGTTTCAAA